CCCAAAAAGCGTTGCCCCCGCCCCCTCCTCCCCTCAGCCTTTGGGGGGTCCCAGGGGGGCCCCCCTGCGCCCCCCCCCCTCCCCCCCGCTGTTGTTGTTGCTGCCGGAGCGGTGAGTCACGGCCGCACCCGCACTGGGAGCACTGGGAGAGGCCGCGCCGGGGCACTGGGAACGCTGGGGGGGGCCGTGCTATGTTACTGGGAGCACTGGGATGGGCACTACTGGTGTTACTGGGAGCACTGGGATAGGCTGTACTGGTGTTACTGGGAGCACTGGGAAGGGCTGTCCCGCGTCACTGGTGTCACTGGGAACACTGAAATAGTCTGTACTGGGATGATTGGGAGCACTGGAAGCTGTAGGGCAGGTGGCACTGGTGTTACTGGGAGCACTGGGGTGGGCTGTGCTGCATTTCTGGTGTTACTGGGAGCACTGGGATGGGCCACGCTGGTGTTACTGGGAGCGCTGGGAAGGGCTGTCCCATGTCACTGGTGTTACTGGGGACCATGGGTCAGGCTGTGCTGCATTACTGGTGTTACTAGGAGCACTGGGAGCACTGGGATGGGCCATATTGGTGTTACTGGGAGTGCTGGGAAGGGCTGTCCCGCGTCACTGGTGTCACTGGGAACACTGAAATAGTCTGTACTGGGATGATTGGGAGCACTGGAAGCTGTAGGGCAGGTGGCACTGGTGTTACTGGGAGCACTGGGGTGGGCTGTGCTGCATTTCTGGTGTTACTGGGAGCACTGGGATGGGCTGTCCCATGTCACTGGTGTTACTGGGAGCACTGGGATGGGCTGTGCCGGGGCACTGGTGTTACTGGGGGCCATGGGTCAGGCTGTGCTGCATTACTGGTGTTACTGGGAGCACTGGGACGGACTATATTGGGGTCACTGGGAGCACTGGTGAGCTGTGTTACATTACTGGTGTTACTGGAAGCACTGGGACAGACTTAACTGGTGTTACTGGGAGCACTAGGCCAGGTCATACTGGGATTACTGGTGTTTCTGAAAGCACTGGGACAGACTACACTGGGGTTACTGGGAGCACTGGAATGGGCTGTCCTATTTTACTGGTGCCACTGGTATTACTGGGAGCACTGAGACTGACTATACTGGGATTACTGGGAGCTGCGGATCATCCTGAGCTGCCTTACTGGGAGCACTGGGATGGGCTGTGCTGTGTTACTGGTGTTACTGGGAGCGCTGGGACTGACCGTACTGGGATTACTGGGAGCACTGGAATGGGCTGTGCTGTGTTACTGGTGTTACTGAGAACACTGGGGTGGCCTGTGCTGTTACTGGGAGCGCTGGGACTGACCATACTGGGGTCACTGGGAGCTGTGGGTCATCCTGAGCCTCCTTACTGGGAGCACTGGGAGCACTGTTTGGTTTCCATGGCGACGCCCCAAACACGGGCGGGGGCGGCTTCCCCCGGGAGGGGGCGGGGCGGGTGTGGCCCAGGCCACGCCCCCGGTCACGCCCCGGCCACGCCCCCTCCCCCCGCGACCCCTCCCGACCCAGAGAGAGAACCCAGCGGGACCAGGCGGAGGTACTGGGGGAGACTGGGGGGACTGGGAGACCCTGGGGGAGACTGGGGGCACTGGGAGCGACTGAGGGAGACTGGGGGGACCTGGAAGGGACTG